AATGAGAAATGCAACATTGTTCACTGATCGAAAAACTCAGACTGAAATCTTCAACCGAACCAAAGAGCTTTATCATTTACATCATAACGACCTTTCCGGAATTTTTAGCATAATGGAAAGTACCCCTTGAGTTGAAGACTTGGCACTTCTTAAGTTCATGCGGAGAAACACGCATTTCAAATGCATAGAGGGACGAGCATTTTCCAATTCAAGCCAACTGTATGCTTTCTACCAAGGCGGAGAAGATGGTCCTTTATCCTCATCTTGTCACTATGTATTAGGTACTCTGGAACTTAACCTTAGATACGACCGGGAAGATCAAAGCATTGGTTTATTAAGTATGTAGAGTAAATATATACTGTTAAAGAAGAAAATACGAAATATACTGTTCAGTTTTAGAGCGAAACAGTGATGAAAACACCGGTGAGATTGTTCCGTTAAAAAATAGCTTCACGGTATCGATCAATGTCGGTTAGCTTAGTTATACCCTGACTCAAATATTTAAGAATTTTAAATAAAACAGAAAAAGGACATTGTTGTTTCACAAAGCATATTCCCTTATATTGCTTCTTTTATGTATCGTTATTTGTTTATTGAAAATGATTTTTTCATTTCACTATACAAAGCAACCGTGGACACACAGCCTGCGATGTTTTCGCAGGCTAACACACAGTGAACCTCGGAAAGTTAATTTTGATTCCATTTATCTTCATGTGTTCTTCCTTTAGAGTTATATTTTTCCGGACATTAAACGTTAATAATTATCGAGGAATAGCCGCACGTCGAATAAGTATAGTGTTGCACAAAAAATCCTGTTCATCAAGAAACAACGCATCCCATGGAACTCTCTTCACATATCCAGTTAATCTTTAGAGCAGATGGATAGCACTTCAAGGTCGTTGATCGTTTCCTTAGAGTTTTGAGGCCCTACCCTGATCGCAAACGTTGCATGTTCAGTTTTTGGAGTTTTCGATCTTCCTTCTTGACAATTAGCCTTATTCATCAAAGACCCTTCACGATTCTTAAATAATTTACTTGTCAACGGACTTAAAAAACAGAAAACAACGCGCCGTATTTCTCGATTACGCCAACAGTAAATCATTGGATTGAGGGAACTGTTTAGAAAAATCAGATTTTCAGCCCAGGGATAGAAGTTGTATAGTAATTCAGGTGAATCACCTTTGATCGTGCGAATAAGAAGAATAACCATTCCTGGTGTGTAGCAAATTAACAGAGCTCCGAATATGTACGCCATGGTCTTTGCAAGTTTGGTCTCGCGTGCTACACCAGGAGCAAGAGGGTCATAGTTTTGCTGTTCTGTAACAATTCGCCGATGATGCCTCCTTGCTTCGCGAAATATGAAGAAGTAGATAAATCCTGTAATAGCATAACATGATCCAATCACAGCAAAGCATATTAGATACACAAAACGGTTTGGTATGCCAGCGAAGCGCATACAAGTTAGAGTGATCCAAGCTAACCATACACCACCAATAACGCTTAAAACGCGAGCTTTTGTCACCAGTCTCGTATAGTTTAACGGAGAGAAGATTGCAACGTATCTTTCGCAGCTTATTAAAGTAAGGTTAAGAAAAGACGCGCCCGTACACAATAAAGCCATTGTGAGATATGCAACCCAGACTTCACAGTTATCAATCCCGGTTAAAGCAAGAGATTGTCGTGTGATATACAGCGGTTCCACCACACTACCAACCAACAAATCTGTAAATGACAGACTGACTAGAAACAGATTCGCGTAGGTTCGGAGTTCACGCGTTCTTGCAAAGGCCAAGATAAATAACGTATTGCACGAAAAAGCGGTTGTCAAGCCTATTGCACTGATAATACAGGTAACAACTGCCGTCAGCCGGGCTGACATGGTGTGTGGGAAAGGAATCACAGCTTGAAAATTGCAATTGACCACATCCATTTCTTCTCTAAATGTGGAAGAACTGTTAAGGGGGGACATTCTATATGCGACGCAAATAGAATAAAAGAATGTTTCTGTGTAGTGCGTTCTTCCCAATAACGTTTTGATTTTACGCTTCTTGCATATGATTGTACAAAACTGATGCTCAGCGTTGAAACTCACCAGAAAAACCAGCTTTTGCACGCGGATGAGACAATGACAAAAATCGTTGACATCCTTTCATGGAAAGCTCATTCGTTGGTTGGTCCTTTCGGTTTTTAAACAGAGCTAAACTAGTGCAAATCGTAGCAAAGCATGATTTAAAGAATGCATCATTTTACAATAACAACACAGCCACGAATAAGAATACAGTCATTCACCTTAGTGCGTCGTTCAAGATGTAAACAGCTGCGCTGGCGGGTGTGATGGCTACATTGCTTGCTTTTCATTACGTCGACGTGTATGAACAACTAAAGAAAACAAAGTGACGAGCGAATTGATAATTTAGTTGCCTTCGATGATTTATAACTAACCTTCGATTTATAGCGTTTCTATTGCCATTATTTTCTAGACTATTTAATTTGGGACAGTGTGTAAATGACATCGTCCTTTTTTGGTCAAAGAACATCATTTTTTTAATATGTATCCTTCTTTATCTTGACAAAAGCGATTAAACACGGGCCGAGAAAAGCAATTTCCACCACGAGTAATAATTTTGCTCAGACAGATACATAATTAAAAAATTACAGACCAAAGGCAGAGCAAGGAAATAATAATTTTCTTTTTCAAGAGAAATGGTAGGATGTCGAGAAATAAAACAGAAATCCAATAAATGTCGTCCATGTACTGACATCAAACAGAACTGAAATAATACAGCTTCTATTTCCATTTAGACACCCTTGTCACTGCAGCGAGACGAAATTTCCTCGACTTAATAAGCTAAATTACAATTAGCTAAGGCAAAGTCGCCGACTGTTTATGACATTTTGGATATGCAAGCATGAAGTTGACGGTCTTAAAGCAAAATTGGTGATGAATCACGAACATCAATGCCAGTCCACGGAACAGAGGAATAAAGAAAGCTTTTAGCCTTTTGGTATAAGATAATCACTTTTATATTAATAATTTCGTACTCGACAAAAGGCTCATGAAGAGCATTATTTAATTAAAGTTAACTTTACCAAAGATTATTTTAAACATCAATTCAAGGAAAGGTAGGAGGGAGTTCTTTCGAAGAAATATGACAATTTTTTGTATTTCATCTCCAAGTGCCTTAAAACACACCTGTCTAATACACTATTTTCAGCAAATATTTCAACGCGAGAGATAGAAAACAATGAAGAAAAAGACAAACTCATGATATTTCTTTAAACCCATCAATTGCACTACTCAAAAAATACATCGTTTATAAATATCTTGGAGATAAACCTCTTCCGGAGCTTTTATGTTGTCCGATTGTTATCCGCGCCGTTACGCTAAGGATTTAATTAAAGCCCGAGGCCAAAATATTCGGTCTTGTAAGCGTAACATTTTCATTTTCAAGACATCATCAGTGCTATCAGATGTTGACGCCAGTCGTGTAGTCTGAATAAGCCCCCAAAAAGGTACGGACAAATCGTAGCCACAATCTTGGCAGAATCACTTTTTCAAAGAGAATCGTAGAGCGATAACAGCTAACTTGAATGAATTCCATACTTCCGATATTTCGTCTGTGTATTTGTATTTTTGTGCAAAAAAGACCATATTGAAAGACGCGGATCTTGAATCGTGCGCAACTCTTCCATTAAATTAAAGTCAAGTGATCGATAACTAACTAGGGTAAAGATAGCCGATTATTGTTTTAACAGGGCGACATACGTGCCTCGAGGCACGCTGCTACTCCGTCTACCTCTTACACTGGGATTCACATAATTCACAACCGAAAATGTATATCACATTATCAGTTTACACTCTATATCCTTGATCCTGAAAGGGGTTTTCTTTTACTCCGAGAAAGAAACTAAGAATCACTTTTACGGCAAACGGCAAGCGTCACATTCATTGTCAGCGCAATATCTCAAACTAAGCAATCAGCAGATAAAAACTATGCCAAATACTAAACAATTATTGGATGACGTTTTGATGATATCCGGAATAATCAAGGTCGAGGTAAATGTTATCAGCCGAGCCGAAGGCCGAGGCTGATAACACTTATCGAGACCTTGATTATTTTGGATATCACAAAAACCGAATCTAATAATTGTTTAATTATACATTGTTTTGAAGAAAATAACGACAAACACACGGTCGCAAATTGTTAATGGAAATCATGCATTGCGCGCGCAACCTACAGATTATCAGTTATCTGGTAGCAGATAACTAACTAATCTGTAGGTTGCGCTGATTTCAAAAATTAGTTGTAAGCTCTTAGCCAATGAGAAGACAGATTATGAGTATGTGTAGATATCATGAATAATAAACGACAAGTAGAGGGAGAACTTGGTCAAGTGGTAAAAATTGACATTTGCCGATTCTGCGTTAACGTGAATCTCTCCAATGTGTCATAAGATAGCCATGAGAGGTCATTCATTTAACGAGCCGGATATTGTCGAGTTAAAAGCACCGATCACTAGCCTCCAGTAAAGACCTATGCTCGGAGAGTGTAAAAACAGTATGTTCCATGCTTTGTTATTTTGCACTTGAGAAGAGGAACACTTTGGGGTCAAAGAACGTGAGAGAAAAAGCGTGGGCGTGGCCGAGAAAAGAACTGGGGACAAAAGGGTTGGACACACGACCAATAAAAAAAGAATGAGGAGAAAATGAGGAAGGAGAAGAAAAAAAGAAATTAATAATTACGTTAACCTGCTGACCGTTGCTTAGCCATGAGCATCGGCAACGATGGAACAAGAGAATTAAGCCCACAGGGATTCCACAAGGCCAGAGAAGCCATACAGTTACTTGTTCTTTTGGACAGGTGCACGGTTGTGAACTCATTAATTTTGTCTTAGCTACATCACATTTTTCTACGCTACTTGCTTAGCAAATAAAGTCGGTATTTGAAAAGTCTTACACTAACTTTTCCGAGAATCAAACTTGCATTCTGATCTTCTCAGTTTATTTGAATCGACGAACAAGACACACACTCTCTTTCGTTTTGTTTAGGTGGTTACAAGTATAATTAGGCAGTCTCATCGAATTATATGTACAATGCTTTCTGACTCGTTGACGTGACCCTAACGAAATGCAGAGTGTCAGTGCTAAAAATCGCCTTGTAAATTGTCCAAAAACGATTCGAAAAACCAAAGTATTTACATCGCAATGGAAGGTTCAGAGAAGAGCTTAGGATTTTGGTAAAAGCATTTTAGCCCCATTAATCCTTTCTTTGAAAGTAAGTGATTGCCATAAAAAATATTTACACTTTGAACAAAAAAACTGATCATAGCCTGCGGTTGAGTACGCCGTTCTAAACTTCGGGCTGATCATCCGACTCCTCTATGATTCCAAGTTCTTCAAGTAATTGTTTTTCCATCTGCAAGTATTCCTGATATTCCTGTATACGATAAATATGTGAATTAACTTTAAAGAAGAATGATGGTTGGGAGCCAAAACAGTAACACGCAAGAGGACGTCTTGCTATAAAAAGAGCGTTTTTTCGATGAGCTCCTTTTCCCCGATTTTCCATTGGAAACACATGTACACCGTCAACAATCCCCTTCAATCTAGCCTAGGAAAACAGCCAACATTTCGCGACGTCACCACGAGGAAACCAGTGGTGGCGCGGAATGCCGGGTGTTTTCTCAGGCTACCATCGATACAACCAAAACGACAAAAAAAAATACAAAAAGATATAGAGAGCATTAGAAGAGCTAGGCATGGAAAAGGGTGACAACCATAAAAAAGTGAGAATGGTAAAAATCAGTTAGAAGGTGGAAGCTCACCATTCTCATTCGAGCATCTAAATCGGCTTCAGTATCCTCGGGTCGCTTGGCTTCCTACAATGAGACATACATTACAAAGACCACCTCTATACAGCACTACAGTCAAGAACGTAAACGATAGAAGCTGATGCGGGTTTGGTGGTTAAGAGCCCAAATTCTCGCTTCACCGCCAAATGTCATGGACAAGTGTTAACTTACTACTAAATAAGCCAGGAACTCATTCACAGAATAACCGTTAACAGTTGTGCCCTCAAGTACGAATACAATCTTGAACTGCTATTTGAGAACAAAAATAAAAACGAAACTAGTCGTAACTCTTCTTAATACCAATACCGATTTTTTTCGATTAAACGCCGCGGCGTTTATTAATTTTGCACTTCGAACCCGGTGTCAACCCTGATAAAAAGACATGCATTGATGTTAACGATACTGCTTCTCAAAGTCACGCATGGGAGAATCAATAGGGACAATACCAATCGCAGTTATGAGACACGACAATGAAGTATTACTGCTCGTGAAGGTTGTTTATATGAGATGTCATAATATCAACCGCGGAGGAAGCTGCCATAGTGTTCCCGGCACCAGAGAGAACCCTTTTTAGAGCCTACCCTCACCTGTTGACGTCTGCTTTCCTCAGCATCAAGCTGTTTCTTTTCTTGCTCTCGGATTTTCATTCTTTCCTCCACAAACGCCAAACGTTTCACTTCACGCTCAAAGAAGTTCTCCATCGCAGTGGCCTTTCAAGTTTTAATACAGCGATTAGAATAACAAGGTGATTATTACACCAAGATTTAACATGCACATAGGCTACTCAAACTCAAACTCTGAAACCACCTTTACCGGACAGATTGATGGGCAAGCCCCGACCCAAACCGAAAAAAAAAAAAGAAAAACAAACAAACAAAGGAACAAAACGTAATTTAAATTATATTAAATGAAAATAAAAGTCGCAATTTGTTCTCGCCTGCGAAGGTTAAGCAAACGAGTGAACAATGCCTGTCATGTGTTAGTTATTTCTTTTGTTTTAACTAGTTTCCAGCAGTAAATTCAACTAAATGAATCAAGAAGAAAAGAACAGTTGTACAGTTTACCTCATTAGCTGATGGGTGTCTGAGATTCCATGGTACTTCCATGACATGTAACGTGCCCATACTGTCACCCACAGCTAAAAGCTGCTGTTTACCTGACAACCAAACAATCAAGACAAGTTGGCTTGTAGGTGCAGACAGGTCACAATACATCGCAACCACCAGCCAGTAGTTGAAAAGGTGGATAATGCTACCCATTGGACAAATTACAGTCCAGTGGATAACCCAAGTGATCTGCCTAATACGAAACGTGTATCCGCTGGGTAGTGATTAACCAGGTGGAAAGCGCTTTCCAGCCTCCAAACAACTGAGCAGTCATAAATAGTGCACAAATTTTCAGTACTTTGAAACGCCAAGGTATGTTATAAATTCGGTGTTTTTTTTCAAACGAGTCGACAAAAACAAATTTTCCACCGTAACAAGATTGAAAAGCTGACGTTCAGGCCCCAGTAGTTCAACAGGTGGATACACGCTATCCACCGGATAAATCACTATCCACTGGATAGTGCAATTGGTTTCCTTAACACTTATCTGTTGGACAGTGATTTATTCGGTTGATAGCGCTCTCTAAATTTTGAACAACTGGGGCCGGAGCCCTAACTCTTCGTCACAGCGAATTCAAGCAGTAAAACTAACAGGTTTTAATTGCTACTATTTGTTTTCATGTATTATACACTTAAAACCCCTTTGGATATGTGAAAATTTTTTTCGGGTTAATTTGCAATTGCTTAAATTGCAATTACCACTGCGACGATCATATCTTCATTTAAAAAAGTACTTACTATCCCTAATGTATTATGCTTGTTTCAAACTCACTTGAGACTTGATGAGGTGCAATTGTTGTAATCGGAGCAGCAGTAACATTCTGTGTTAACGAAGGCTCATGTGACCTAACAATAACAACAAAAAGTAACATAACCGAATAAATACACAAATCCTTTTTTTTCCACCATAAAATATCTACCTCTTTAGCTTGTATGTTTTGATTTCCCATATACTAATGCAGTATGTATTATTATGTATTTAAATTTGGCAATACCAGCGTGGTTAAAATGACAAAAGCCCTAATTTACACACACAGCAAAAGCCTGAAAGATTCTGGTCGTAGTACATGTATAAAACGACGTCATCGTGCAAATGGCCCATTGGCCTTAAATGATAAATTTCTGTCACAATCAAATACCTGTCAAGAAGGTCCCACACGTCTACATTTCCGTCTGTTTTAGTGATGAAAAACACCCCTAAAAACGGAAAGAATAATGTGTTACACACTGCAGCAGAACTCAGCTAAGCTATGCAGGGAAAATTTCATTCTTCGTTCAACCTCATTCCCAGGGCTCTCTCCTTTTCTAGACTACTTACGAAGATTATTAAATTTCATTATTATTCATTCAAAATATTTCTCCGTTTCTGATTGGCTAAAAGCACACGCATAATTCACCATAACCAGCTACTGTTCACCAAATTTGGAAGAATTTTGCGATTAATCAACCGATGACGTCAAAAGTGCAGCACAGTTGCAGGTTAATGCACCGTTAACCGAGAAGACCTGGGGACGAGGTTGAGTTGTTTTGATTGTGCAAAGGAAAATGGCCGAACAGCCGGCGGAACATTTTACTCGTTTCACGACGAACTATAGTCTAAAAACATAGCAAGAAGACGGACAACATCTGCTATTTGGGGTATATTTGCAGACCTGAACAGCCCTTTATCTCTAAACATGCACTATCGAGGTGAACTTAACATCGACGAAGGTAAGCATGTTTTAGCTTGTTTTTAAACTAGGAATTATTTTGAATGGATAATAAAGCAATTAATGAATTCGGCTTTCCTTAGTTTCGGCCTCACCCTCCGAGATCTGCATAATTCTTCATATCCTACTCAGCCTCATTCACTAATTGCTAAATAACCAACGGCAAAAAACAATGTCAATACATCGACAAAAGTGTTTGATAAATTACGGATAAACCAGGCAATTGATTCACTAAACGAGTGTTAAGAACTTTTAGTTATTTGAATTGCATTGTTATCGTAAAACCTTTCATCCTAGGTTACTAATACCCCTGTCATCTTATTGTACCTGGCCGAGAAGGACTCCAATGTCCTCTTGTTAGCCTCATTAGATGACTCGCTGACTGAAGAAGAGGTCCACTCTACAAAGTACAACAATCAAAGAAATGTGACCTCTTTTACTCGATTACATTTAGTTTTCAATCCATCCGGTGAAACTTAAGAGTAAAAACAAGAAAACTGTACCGTAACACCTTCCTTCCAAATTGCAAATGTCCATCCACCAACAGTGAGGATGATATCTCTAAAGAAAGGTGATCTCTGAAGAGAGGATATAGGACCATCATGGGCTGCCCAGACCTGCTCAGGACGGGGAGCTAAACACAACAATTAAAATAATATAATTTAATGTCATTGGTGGCAAGACTGAAAGAAGCAGAAATACTTAACAATAAAATAAGCGGCACTTACTGACTATTTTGCCACTATCATTATCTTTTTCAGGTTTCCAGTCCATGTAGACGAGGTCGCCTTCCTAAATTCAAAACAGAACATAGCACAGTTCAAACAAAGTGAGACGCGTAGCCCCACCTATGATGAAACAAGCATACCTGGGCCCTTGCATGTTCACATCATATTTCAAATTATCGACATTAGTTATCTACTTAAACCTAAAAGCCTGAGTGTATGTATAGCATGACTCTTAAAGAATCTCAAGTTTTTTTTTTTCAACCAAAATCTCAGTTAGACACCGGATTCAAGTTGTATATTTACTGCACAGTTTACTTCGCAGGTCACAAGTCATACGTCTAGAGAAGCACAATTGGTTTCTTACTGAAACACAGGGAGCATAGCGGTCTAGTTATGAATAAAAAGTTTGAATACCTTTTTCATTGCCGTTACCTGATTTTTCTGTCATAATATATTTTGTCTACAATTCGTGTGAAGTTATTGGTAACGGTTCACCACTAGGAAATAATCCTTTTGATCATAGATTTGGCACCAAACGGCCCGAGGACGCTGGTCCGAAGACTGGCTCATCAATTAAGTACCTGCCGCTAAAATTACACAGTGTACAAAGCGGCTCACCTCAGTGCCAACAAAAAACTTAGAGCTGACATTTTCAAGCAGCTTGCCTTGATCCTTTCCCTTGGAAATACTAGATGATAAATTGGAAGTAACCGTGGATTCTTTCTCTTCACTTGGTTTAGGTGCTAAAATATCACAGAAGTTGGAATGTTAAAAAAGGATTCCATACCTTAATGGAAGAATTACTGGTAATACAGTTGTAGTTTACAGAGTATCCCACATAACAAAGACATCTTATGTAATTCTTTTCAGCTCTATGTTTGAGACATTTGGGACGGTAAGGAACGCGTTGATGATGAAAGAAGAAACAAGTACACCACTTTAAATTGACATCGACTATCTTAAATTTAGTGTCCACCAACGTACCAATCAGGCAAAAAGATTCTTCCAACAATAACTGAATATCTCCGGGAAATACTACATATGTGTACCAAAAACTGTAGAATTTTTAACTTCAACTAGGCATGACTGGATTTCACAACAGACCCTGTTACTATCATGGGCCTTTTATCGAAAAAAGTCTTAGACTATTATATGGACGGTCACATGCAGTTACAACTCACCAGTGGCTGATCTTGCACCTTGACGTTCTGAAATACTGAAAACACTTGGTCCAAATTCACCACCACCAGAGAGGTGCGACACGGTAACCTAAGTAACAAAAAACTGTCTGAACTTAGAGATTATTATACTTGTAAATAAAGCTACTGTAAATCAAATACGTCTCGCTAGATATTAGGGAGCTTAAGAAACAAAGACAGTTACGTCTGCACGAGAAAGGGCAAAAAAGCAAGAGGTTTAGATTAGCAAAACAACAACTCGGCACGTGCATCACGCTGTTGCACGACTGCGACGTGAAACTGCCTAATTTCACGTTTTGTGGAGGACGTAAATACAGGACAACGACTTTCTTTTTCTTTTCCTGAAATTCGATACAGTCTTTTAAAATTAATCTCCTGCCAACTTTTGACGAATTGAACCAGATGGAATAAGCGCGATAAAGTTTGAAGCAGCGCTACTTCACTTTTTAAGTGACGTTTTCGTAGCCGTCGCCGTTGTTGTTGCTCAAGCTCTCTCTTATCCCTGTTAGTTATAGTTCTTCCTTAAGTGGAATAGCCAATTACGTGTGGGAAAGGCTGGTCTATTGTTCCGATAGAGAGGACTCACTATATGGAAAAGGGCCACTTATAGAGTAAATGTATGCATCACCTCTATGAATTTGAGATGCTATTCCTAGTTATCTTATTCAACTGCATGCAGAAAAGAAATCTGGCTTCTTAGGCGCGAAAAACAATATGTTTAACACGTTACGTGTCGGGCAGGACGTGACCCCTAAGACGTAAGATCCGTAAGATCGTAAGATCCCTGGATCGTAGGTCAGCGGACAAACTGCACCCACTTTAGACATACACTGTACTTGTACAGTACTGTTTTGCGCAAAATAACAACCTTACAGTCAACCATCAATTGATTGTACCAACCCTCGGAACGGAGAGGCACAAGAGTGGCTCTATCCCTAGCGCCTGTCATAACGCTATTGTCTTAATTTCGAAGGGTTGCAAACTTCTTTTTACATTACTGTTCTTAGTTATCCTGAGTGACAGACCCTTTTCTTCAGTTTTAAATCATGCGAAAAACGAGAAAAGAAACCGCGACAACGAGGCGCAACGTTGGTGCGTTTATTTCATGATCATGGAGAATGGAGAACAGTCCTTTGGAAAATGAGTTGGCCGCCATAATGGAAATCAAATAGTGATTTTTCAGTGCTGGTCCCTCATAAGAGCCGTATCTCCGTGGCGTAACGAAACCGCAGCAGTTAGAAGTGACATATAGCTTTCAGATACACACAAACACACGCGCGAGTTTGCTAAGCTATTCAAGTAGCGATTATAAAATTACCTTGAGGACAGGCTTCCATGTTAAATCCAGGTGTTTAAATGTGGGAAGAATTCCAACTGGGTGGTTATGACCAGCAGCAGTTTGAGTGGGTGCAGCAGACTTGCTTGGCCTGGTGTCCCAAACAAGAACAGTCCTACACAGAAACAAAACAACCACAATTAACATTAGTTTGTTTACTTTTTAAATCATGGACTGTTACAACTCATACACAGAGAAATGGAGTACGGTAGCCTCAATTTCTTCTTTTCCTGTTAGAGCTGTTTTTGTTTGACCTGGAAATGATTACTGAAATGCGCGCAACTTTTGGTTGGTTTAGCGATACAATGCATTCCAGTCGCTAATCTTACAGTTTTCCTTGGTGTCGGCGAGTCCAAGTTTTGATCTTTTTAAAAAGGAAAAACTATTGGCTGATAAAAAAAAATAACGAGCACTTACCAAAACCATTTTTCAAGGTCAAAATACGAAGAAATATCGCTCTGTGCAGATATAGTTAACACAGATCATAAAGAATATTACTTGTTAAGATCCAAAGGAATGTCGAATAATACATCATGTGACTGTGCAGTATACAATGTACTCAATTCCGCCTCACTTAACTGAATATTTGTCTAAACATACCACTTCAGAGTAAGGCAAAGTTTAAGAAGCTAATAAAACAGACAGTTACATTGTCATGATATGTGTACGGTTTAATAATTTGTTAGTTTCCGAGTAACAATTCGCGTTTCTATCATAGGGTAGTCGTTTTTTGGATATCAAGAAATGATAACTTTCTCAGACAGAATGCCAACAGCGGAAACAGAAACAGGAGAAACAGTGCAAATCACGACAAAATGTCAGTCTTTCATTGAGAACAAATTAAACATCAAACAATGAATTGGCGAATTAGATGGTGATCGGCTTTAGTACTAAAGCTTTTCATACAGTGCTTTCTGGTCACAACCAATTAATAACAGCACAAAATTCTCGGGCACCATCTTTTACAGAGATCATCGATTTTCAGGAGTTAATAGTATGGCATCAGATGTCAACTTTTTCTTATCTGAATAGTTTGGAGAACTTATAACTATTTTCATATGGTACTCACCCATCAGCCGCACATGACATCAACTGATTACACTGCTGTGTTTTATTTTCCACTACGACTCCCATCCGCCCGATCTGAAGGACACAAGCAATTAAACCAGCTGTTAGGCTTACTTTTGTGGAAAAAGATTTAACGAAAACAAACTTTCAGAATTTACAACGCGTAGTATGGAAAACCACTTAAAAGCGTAACTGGGTGGCAAAAGTTATTTTTCTCATTCAAATCCTTCCAATTTTCGGCGGCCGTTGCAATCGCTACTTTTGAGATATACGGCTGAAAATTCACAGGTTTCCTAATTTTTATATGCCCTTTCAGCTCATGCTAACAAAAATTTTCAAAAACGATCTGTTCTTGTGTTTAACGAAAGTTGATCACGTGTACAACTAAAGCAAAAGGTCTATTAAAAGGACCAACATCTTCCCAGCAATCACAGTCGACCGTCGTCATATATACAGATGGCGCTGTGTAACCACTGATCGGCCGAAAAAGACATCTACATCTGAATTGACTAGTTATCTTTACACAAACGCTACTTCTCTTTTATTAATCTTAAATAAAACAACAGATCAATAAAAAAAGGTTAATCCTAGTATTATTTGCAGAGATGAAGTCAGTGATTATTCTGGTAAATTCAGCTTCCTGGTTACCTCCATATGATCAGGTATCCACATAATGTCTGAAACAACTGTCTTATGACTGTGTTCAATAGACGACACTGCACAGTACCGGAGAATGGGTGAACGGTCGAAACTTGATTCATCTTCAAATCCAGGCTTGAAAAAGAAAAGAAAAAAACGCTTATGTTGATTGATGTTCTCTCTGAGATAATAAATCATTAAATTTGCTTGAAAAATAATCTACTTGAAATACCAATATTACCGGCAAACAAACACTTTTAAGTAATGGATCATATTTTGCATAAAGCACATTTCGCGCCTTATGGCGCGACGAGAGTTTTTTTTAACAACAACAACAGTTATTCAACTATCAAATAATTTATTAAGACTATGTTACCCACATGGAGCTATTCTAGGTGGGCAACAATACAATAATTGTCTCCTATAAAGTCGGCAAAAGAACGGTAAGTAAAGAGAAAACAAAAATAAAATGAAATAAATAAATAAAATGTAGCACCTATTCTCGGTTTTCACATGACGTCACCAAAATTCAAACTAAGAAACTATCGATTCTTCTGAGTTTCTGAGTTTCATGAGGTATTACAGCACCTAAACACCTTTATTTAAAAAGAGTTTTGGTTCGAAAGGGTTCTTCGTTTTGCGATAGAGGACGTTTGAATTTCTAGGCTTTTGCGTGACGCGGCATTTAGCTGGCGGCCACAACGGCTCTTATGTGGGTTAAAAACATTACCAATTTTGGGAGATTTTGCTGTCTAAACATTCTTTGTCTCAGAATAAATATCACTTTAATAGTTTATGAGTTTTTCAAGCGATGAATTAACGCATTAGTAGGAAAAATCAAAAACAGATGTTTCTGTTGGTTTCCGGCGGCCATATTTGTGCCCCGCAAAGGGACACAAACATGGCGTCGCCATACAAAGCTTTGTAAATTTGGGTAAAACGTTTTTCCTAATATCTCGCATATGAAATATCGCACAGACCTGATTCTTGGCGAGGCCTTTTGCTTATTTATCTTCTTTTATTTCCTAGATTCGGGACTTTCTGTATTGAATGGTTTGCAATTTTATTTTTGATTGCGTGACAGTGAAAACCGAGAATAGATATAAGGAAGGAAAACACTTGAACTGGATAAGGAGTTCAGGTAGGAATTGGTAATGGTACTCATATCAACATACACCTTCTTAGTCTCCAAAACCTTGATCAGTAATTTATGTAATTTGCTCTTTGCGCTGTTCACGTAACGGAAGAGGAAGTTTGTTCCAAATTGTCACACCACTTCTAAAAAAAGTAATAATAGCTGATTGAGTCTAGATCTCTAGACATAAAAATTACCTGCGGCAGAAAATCTGGTATAATGAGAGTGGATCATGTTAGAACGGACGAGCAATTCAGAAATTTTTGAAGGAGCCCAGTTACTGGAGATATCGTGCATTAGGATAGCCGATATGATGAAGATGGCATTTCTGAATACACATTAACCTGCGAGCAAGCTCTCCATTTCGTTTGGCAAACGGAATGATACTCGTGGCTAAAAAGTGAACGCCCACGCAAATGGTAAGCCCGCCCTTCGCTCTCGTGTCTCGTTAAGCGTGCAACTCGAGCGTGACTTCTCGCGATATCCCCCTTGCTTGCAGGCAAATAAGTGATCCGCGTGAGTGGAAAACCTGCTCCTCGCTCTTCCGTCTCCTTAAACGTGCCCCTCGCGTGTGACTTCTCGCAATATCCCCTTGCCTGCAGACTAAAAAGTGAACGTCCAACCAAATGGCAAACCCACCCCTCGCTCTCGTGTCTCCTTAAGCGTGCAACTTGAGCTTGACTTCTCACGATATCCCCTTTGATTGAAGACAAATAATTGATCCGCGTGAGTGGCAAACCCGCTCCTCGCTCTTCCGTCTCGTTACGCGTGCCACTCGTGCGTGACTTCTCACGATATCCCCACGCCTTGCGGGCTAAAAACGCATCATATTCTACATATCATTCGATCAGTTTTCCGCTTTAACACAGATCAACGTTTCTTCATCCGGACCACAACTGCAGTTACTGATAGATGCCATAGTATGCTGCATGAGCACTCCTTACCAGTGTGTTCATGGAGTTTTTCTTCGTTTGACCATGGGACTGTCTGTGGCTGCGTAATCTGTCACCATGGTTTGTTATGTCCCACAACACAATCTAAACATAACAAAATAATTCGCATAATTTTACAACTGATATAACTTTGCAGCGCTCTATTAATTTTAATGTCAATAATTTTATACTAATACTAAAACCATAAACTGGTGCAAGTCTTAATTAGAATCCTCGCGCTATTACAAAGGAAGACGTTAATTAAACCAAAAAATCGCACATCAAAATGCTTAAAACGGCACCATTTGACTGTGCGATCAATGAAAAATGTTGCAGTGTTGACGGAGGACGGGGCATTTGCCCTCTTTTTTCGTCCCCACCCCGGGGGATTTGACAGCTCAAGAGCCCCCACCTCCGGGAGTTTGCCATCCAAGGCAAAAAAAATGCTAATGCTCTGGGTTCAGCCCGAAGGGGGCAGGGGGGTTGGGCGCAGGTGGAATTGACTGATGCATTACTCAGGAGCAAATTTTTGCGGTAATTTTTATTTGCGGGAACTTATTCTTGAGAATAGCTGGAAAAATCGCAAAAATTAGAACCTGCAAAAATTTCGTGCCACACGCTATGTCCTTTTAAAGAGAGACAAGTAAAATACTTGCAGCTCTACCAACATGGAACTGAACTGTTACCTGTCCATTTATGCAGCCTCCAGCAATGATATTTGGGTCAGAAGGATTAAACTTGAAGCAAAAGATATCATCAGGAGCTTCAAGAAGAGCCTAAAGAACAATACATTCTGTTTTAAAAATACCATTAGAACACCTCCAATTATCATGTGGGTAACCCTATCCACTAGATAAATTTCTCTCCAGTGTTTAACACAATTGGTTTCACTAATACACCTTTGGCTTTCATTAACAGAAAATATAAATTCATTTCATTTTACGGGAATTCAATAAGATCATTCTTAAGGAGAACATTTTCCCGTAAAAATGTTCATTTTAATCATCCGTCGTTTTATTTTTGCAATTACCATGCTAATGCATCTTCAGTAACACCATCGGAATGTCATTTTCTTTATTGTAAAGTCTATTATGTCTTTGGAAAAACATTAACATCGATAACACTGTCTTTTATATTTTTTGAAAGTACCCTTTGCTTTATTTTATTACATAAACACATACCAGCGGATGAATCGGGTCAGAGAAGCTCCAGATAAGCACCAGCGAAGAAGTCATAAGAATACGAGAAAAGTAATCCACTCTGTCATCAAATGAAAGACCTTCACCACAGGAAACTGCAATGATGCCTATTGAATGTAAAGAATAAGAGAAAGGCAAGTCATCAATAAACACTTTTCAGTCAAACCCTGTTAATACGGACACTGATTTTTTTAAGCATCTGATAAGCGTTAAATTCTTGAATAACTAACTTGTATTTTGCAATTTCTTCACAATGTCCGTGGCAGTAATAACCCAAAATGACGCCCAAATCTAGAGGCTTTAATAAATTTCTCTCTGAGACGGTTTTGCTCTCATATCGGGAAGCAAGGGTGGCACAGTGGTGAGAGCACTCGCCTCCCACCAATGTGGCCCGGGTTCGAATCCCGGCGTCGACGCCATAAATATTCCTGTCTAGAACACTCTACACTCCCTGTAAGTACTGACAGGCTTATACAGGGCAACTTGTGATTCACAAAATTAATATGTAGATGTAATGTACATCTGTATAACTATTTGTTTTTTATGTCATCTTGTTAGTGCATTATAGTCTTAACGAATAATTAATGCACTACTTTTTGAATATTTATTAAACCTGTTTTCTCAAAAAATAACAGAGAACCAGAGCCCTAGGTGTCGAACTAAATAATTTAGCTATACATCTACTGCACTGTACCCTGTAGAGATTGCTCATAGCAACCTGCATTAAAGGCAAAAAATCCTCTGGAATGTCATAGTTAATGTTTATTTCTTTCTTTCTTTATTTTATTATGCAAAATTAGAGACAACTTTACAGGCCATTTTACAATCAACTTTACTGGCAACTTTAAAGGTTAATGCTACCTTTGATAGCAGGATGCCATTGAATGTCTGTGATAGTTTTTTCCTTGCTGTACTGAAGATCAGTGAAGGACTGGTATTCCTGCAAACATCACATGATTGCAAATTATTACCTTGAATACGAATCAGAAAGACTGTTAAAAACATTTCCTGCAACATAGAAGACAAACGAACATTCGCCACCCAGTTGTAGTATAGGAGACTTCAGTAAACCTAGCTTCTAAGCAAAAAGATCACTGCTTTATGAAGTAGCTATACAGCTACCTAATGGCAGAACCACAATATATTTAGACACGAAATGCGGCATAAATTTAATAATTACATAATATTTTTTGATACCAAAAGAAATCTTAACTTTCATAATTCAACTATGGTACATGTACATGTTGTTTCCACGAATATGCCAAAGAATGAAAATTTGCTGAGTGAGTGACACTTAAATTCAATAATATTGTGTTTAACAAACATATTCTCATTTCATCAGATCTAACTTGAAAACACTGTGGTAAATATCTTTGTTGTGCACGAGTTCTCTAACAAGTAAAATTGTAACTTTTTATTGGTTTTGTTTTATAATTCATGATGTATCACATAACCTTTAAATAGTTGTCTGACTTTGCACCAAAAGTAGTTTCATCATCTGCCAGGGACAAATAGTCATCATAAAACACATCTAAAATCTCATTTTGTTGTAAAGCCAACTCAAATCTGCAACAACAACAAAATAATACATCTAAATCTTTTTTCACATCATACAGTGGACAACAGCAAGCCAGGATGATAATGCAGGGTGCAAAGAAAGGGAATTTCACGGAAGTTGTAATAAGCATGTACTAATTCAAAAGTCATTTCAACTAACACGAAAAAAAAAATTTTTGATGAGCAGGTTTGATTACGGTTCCTCTGTGATTTGAATTCCATGAAAAACATCACTTGCCTGTTGGGAAACTTAAGAATAGAACGCACAGGCCTGATAGCAAAATCCATTAGTCCTGAGTTATCAGACATTTGAACACCATACAACGAACAAAATGTTCAAGATTATATAGCTGACGAGCCTCTTTGCAACGGCCACCTTGGGGACAGAAGAAAGTGGCGATTTGATTGTAGAGAGGTTTAAAGAAGAGTCATGATGTACAGAATGTCCGCCAAAAAAGAGCTGTTGTAGAGAAGTGAACGTTGTGGAGAGATGGTCGTTAATGGAGGTTCAACAGTAATTCCAGAAATGGAAAATGGCAAGTATTATTTTAGTTCCATTATTTTATTATTATTACAAGTATTTTATAAAAATTGCAACAGCCCATTTAGGTGGGTGTATGGATTGACAGATCCAAAAAAAGATGCAGAGAGATCAAGGGGTACATGTAGGATAAGTGAATGGATACCATGGTGTGCAAATACTGTACATCATGTTATTTTTTCACAGTCAAAAGGGACAGAAAAAACCAAATACTTTTCTCCAGGTACTGAGCAGTAAAGTAAGAGCCAGCACATACATATAATATTTGATCATAATACAAGTACCTTGGTGTGACCTTGTCCATAAAACTAAGTAAGTCAACCATTGATTTTTGTATCTCCCCTTTAGTTTTTTCCTCTATGGTCCGTGGAGCATACTGGGTCACTGCATTACAAGGTTTTCTCCTGTAGAAATAAATTGTATAGTACAGGTGTATGACTGAAATAATTTTGTGATAATAACATGTATATAAATCAAGTTATTTACAGCTGTAAGTATGTAGCTTTAAGTCCCCTCTGGAAACAAAAAATGCAGAGGGTAAAAATCACAATAATACAATACAGCAACTGCACACAGTAGACATAAAACTGCGAGTGTATATTATGTGACTGTAAAATTATCAGAATCAAACCAACAGTTATCTGTTTCAAGGAGATGGTCACTCATTAATCTTTTGTATCTGAAATAAAGCCAAACATAACTTTGAAGTTTAAGAAAAAACAAAATTAAACAGTTTGCATACATTGTGTCTGTTCACAAACTACGCGTGTATTAACTTCCTTTTGAATGGTGGTAACATCCATTTAAACAGTTTACAGTATTATCCTTAAACATCAATTTCCCTCTCAAAGAGTTGATTTTTTACCAAGCCATGCAGTATAGCCCTGATCAGCACCTTACCATTCTGTTTGATTCCCAATGTCAGTTAACACTGGAACAGCCTGCAAAGAAAGACACCAACAGCCAAATGCAATTCAGACTCCTTTCCTGTGGTATGCACAATAAATGTGCACACAAACCAGGTTTATTTAATTAAAACTTATCATATAATGTCTAGTAAACATCAAGTACAAAAGGACATTGCACCCTTTTTGTAGGGTGGCAAAGGAAGGGGTTCCTATCATGCATCATATGCCTAATTTTTTTTTGGCCATCACATGCATCACGGGAAAAAAAATTGGCCGTCACTCATCACGTAAATGAGGTGTGCAATAGGTCACTTCTGAGTTCCAAACACTCTCGCTTTCAAAAGGCTAAGCACAAAACCTTTCTTGAGAAAAAGAGATTATTAATTTTGCATGAGAATAAAAAATAATTTTCATATCAATAGCTTCACACTTAGCCTCACTTTAAAACAAAGACTAGGAGCATCTCAGAAATGGCAAATTGCAGTAAGTAAATGTGGCAATATCTCAATCCATTGAATGAATCAGCTCTGACTAATAAATTGTTCTCAGTGTCCGTTGGGTAGGATCGCACATTAACAGTTAATTTAATGACTTTAACTGCTCAAAAGTGGGTTTCCTGAAATTTACGAACCATTATTAACTGGTATTCACTGATCTGAGAATAGAGATCATAATCCTGGGGGGAGGGAGGGGGGAAGGCACTCCTTTACATGTATATGACAAATACGGGGATGTGCTGCTGAACAGGGAATGGTTTTTGCTCTCTCTGTCCTAAACAGAGTATAAATAATAATTTATATAATTTATAACTTTGTGTGAGTCTGTTAGCCTGTGTGATTGATGTGATTTGCTCGATGAATTTTGTTTGTACTCCAAGTACAGTCAAAGCTCTCATAAGCGACCTCCTTTGAAATTTGAAAAAGTGGTTGTAGCTAGAGGTAGTTGCTTACGAGAGTGGTCACAAGGAGAGCTTCGACTGTATACAGAAGCAATAACCATGCCTTGAATTTGGTATATTGCAATTGCCAATAAATGGCTTTAACATTGACGACAGCGTGCATTTTGTCCTAAACAGGGTAATAAAATTGAGGGTGTTGTCTTAAACAGGGTACATGGGGTGTATGTGTTTTAAGAATTTTTGCCCTAAACAAGGTCAGGGTTTCAAATCCTCAGTGGTTCACCTGTACCCAAATATTGGTCAAGTACCTCCTCCGGGTCATAGTACAATTCTGACAGGAGATTAGAGGTTGAGGAACAATAAAAAGGACCAGAAAATGATGTCATGAATATCTGTAGTTTTCTATGTCTTTGGTTCTACTTACAAATGATATTCAAAAATCCAGAAAGCTAAAAGGAAAATGATTCACCACGTGTTGTGAATATGGTAAATCACAAACCACCCAGTTATGTCCAATCACACCTCAAGCGGCTAAATTGGGCCCGATCACATATCATGCTGATAATTTGGGACCTATCACATGTCATGGAAAACCCCTGTTGGGCTTTGCTACACCCAGTCAGTGATTTTGTTACCTCTGTGTCCTGTGATGCAAAACGCAAAATAATTCAAGGAATGCGTCCAGTAGGATGCAAAGATCGATCTACACGTATCAATCTGAACATGTGTGTTTCTAGAAAAATCCTGTTTGCGTAATTTCTGAGGAAGTTATTTATGGCTATTGTTTAATGATGCATAAATTATTTCTTTTAGACTTTGTTGAGCTTTAAAATAGTCAAGGACTATATTTTAATATCAGTAAACTGTAATACAGAGTTTTAGAGTCTGTCTTCAGATTGACCATCTGGTTACATAAAGGCCCAAGCATTTTCAATTTCAAACTCTTTGTTTTTTTAAACTGGGACTCATTGGTTGTAGACTTAGCTTGGACTCATGATTTTTCACAAGATGAGTCCCAAGACTATAAGCATAACTTTTTGTAACAAAATCACTGCCCTGTTTTAACTGAATGAGCATAAGCTGTTTGAAAATCCAAAGACTTTGAATACCAAAGAGAAAGGATTGAGAAAAGTTATTCAAAGTCATAAAATCTGGCAAACTGTGTTAACTAACAGCACTGCAGAGTTACGTGTAAAAGATGTGGTTCTGTTAAATAAAACAAAGGTGCCTTACAGCAGTCTTTTATCGCACAAAATAGCAGACAGCACAGTACCTAACTTCATTACGCCCTCCAATAATTTTAACCCTCTCAGGGTTGTCAGAAAGTTTTGAAGTAGACAGCTGAGTTGTCAAAGTACGAGGCCAGTCCAGGGATATTTTATTTAAAACATGCCATCCGTAAAGAAATGCCAAGAAGAGTAGCCAGCCGATACTAACCAAGTAGGCACCGATTTTCGCCCGCAGCCGGCTACTTTTGAGAACCCTGGACCCCTGTGAGCTTTTTGTCTCACTGACATTAATCATTCAGTACATGTATCCATTGGGCTCTCACAAACCTGTATGCCTTTGTCCAACTCTTTCTTTAGAAGTCCATAACTGTCATCATCAAATGAAGGGCATTCTACAAAGCCATCTTTGGCATCTGATACATTGCGGTCACTTAAGAAAACAGGAGCTCCAAACTCACGCCTTTTCCTTGAAATCCTAAATTTCACCTACATGTTGTCAATGAAATCACACATCAAATAAAAAAAGCTTATGAAGCATTCTGCATACATTGACAGCACAATGAACTAATTTTTAGATAGGGCTACAAGTACACACAGCAATGACAATGCCTCTGTCAATAATTCTCTAACCTTTGGTCTGTTTTCTATCACATTTTCCTCTTCCACTTCCACTTCACTTCCCAGTGATAACCAAGGCTGTGGAGTCCTAGGAAACTTTCTAAGGGTTAAAACAAGGTCTTCTTCTTCAGCCTCTTCTCCTTCACCAGCTTGGAGCTCCTCTTGAGGAGGCTAATGAGATTGGATTAAAAAAAATACAAAGTATGGTGATCTCAGTTATTAAACCAGGCCTCTGCACAGCTCTCTTCTAGCCAGTGCTCAGTTTTGGAGGAGACATGACTAATAGATGTACTGTAGTACCCCTTTTCTAAAGAAGGGGTGTTACAGAAATGCTTTTTTTTTTTTCGAAGAAAAATTGAAGGGAACCCAGACTGCTCTGAACCTGCAAAATCCAAGGCAGACCTCTCAATCTTAAAAGACCAAAATCCTGGAGATCAAGGTAAATAAAACAGTGACTGGAGATTTGGGAACTAAAAAGAACTAAAACCAGGTGTTCATCAAAATATAGTTTCTTTTTCTGTTTATCAATATTCACCATTTTCTGCCATTTTGACAACGTGGACCAAATGCATCTGGATGCAACAAACTGGTAATGATAAGCTTATTTGGCATTAATTTTGTCTTCTACATATGGTTCTGAGGTCCATGTCTTGTCAACCAGTCGATCAAAATATGACAAATGTGCCTTAGAATTGTGGATTTCTACAGAATTAGTACCAGAAAATCAATTTTACAAGGCAAAAATGAAAATATTCAAGGAAAGTGTATTCTATCAGCTTGTGAATCTGTTTACAGTGAGATTTTTGAGCCTCATCGAGAGACCTTGAGGTTGCCCTCAAAACCGTGAGACTTGAGAGGTCTGCCTAGGTGCCCAGTATAAGATTTCTAGGGGAAAAAACTGATTTTCTAGTTGCCCGGGAAAATAGTTAAGATACCAGAGACAACAGAGCACCGCCAGAGCACAAATACATTCAAGCTAAAATGATTCCAGTCTTGTGTGATTTTGCTTTGACTCCTAGCCCTAATTATTCAATTATTCAGATCAAAATGAACAAAGTTTACTGTAAGTTAAAGTGATTTCAATCTAACTAGGTTGATATCATTTTAACCCAAATATATTAGAATAATATTAATTTTTTTAGAAGGTATTAGAATGCAACAGTTATTATGAACAAAACTAGCAATAACCAAAGGTTTAATACAGAGTGTGGACGACAACTATCAAAGGTCAAAACGCTTTTGCTCCAGTGCATTGCTTTGCGTAAGTTTCATGTGACAGGTGAAAAACGCGAACGATCAGATTTCGAGTGATAGAAGGTCCAAACGTTCATTATCAAATTGCATTCTGTGCCTTCCATACATTCTTAGTGGAGGTCCAAACGAATCCTGACTACATACAAGTGACACATGCGCAACAACAACCTGGAAATGAGGATTGCGGGCTCCTTTTGTCACCCGCAATAAATGAAAGCAATAAGTTAACAGCATGAACTGCATCTGTCGTAAGCCTGGGCCGGTTGCTCGAAGCCTGGTTAGCGCTAACCGTTGGTTAAGAGGTATCAAAATGTATAGGTTTCCATGGTATTTAATGCTGGTTAGCACTAACCATGCTTCGAGCAACCCGGGAAACAGAGGAAGAACACACATGAACTTACATCCCGGCGTAGTCATTCGATAAAAATTGATATCGGAAAATCATTCGATAAATCGATAAAAATCGATTGATTGATTTTAAGCGATATCGACTTTATCGGTCAATCGATAAAAATCGATACTCACACGCCGACGAAGTGTTAATTTTATCGATTTTATCGGATTCATCTTTCCCTTTCAAGACTGGGTGAAAGAGCAACGAACGTGTGATTGTGTTACATCAGCAAATAAATAAACAGTGGAATAATCAACCAGGGATCTATAGCGGATTTCAAATGGAACAAACGCTGAGTATTAATAAAAGTTTGTGGAAAAGATGAACGAACACGGAAGTTGTTATAAGTGTCTCTGCGAGCTCTTAAATATGTTTTGGTGTTTCCCTGTCGAAAATTGGTACGATAATTCAGTTTCGATAAATTCGATATTTATCGATTTTCGATAATCCTAATTCAAACATCGATAATTATCGATTACTCACACCGAACTCTTTTATCGAATTTTATCGAATTTCGAAAAAATTAATCGATTTTTATCGATTGTTATCGAATGTTATCGATTATCGATATTATCGAATGACTACGCCGGGACTTACATGTAAACCAGTGTTTAAATTGTATTGGTCACTTACATTTAGGATTCTTTCCTTAGCTTCCTCCGTAAGAACCAGGTAAAAATTCTGACCATACTTGAACACAGGATCATACACCACAAGAAGTTCGTCGCCTGGGTAATCCTGCACAAATTAAAAGCCAGTGACATGCATAAAGTGGTTACATGTAACCAGAAACTTGAGCTTAAGCTTTAATATGTGTTCCAAGAAACTGCAAGCCTACCAACACGATTTGTTTGGCTGGATGAAAATCTGAAACAGCTGCTCGGTCTTTAAAATCCTGAAATACCGCTTCTTTAGGGATCAACTTGTAGGGATTTTCCTCGGTGACATCCTCGTCTCCCTTGCACCCAAATATCTCTTGGGTTTTGCTCGTGAAGAAGAGTGGCATTATATCCGATGGAATCTCCTCTTCTCCTTCTTCTTCGCCGACATTACTGGCGTTTGTTTCATCTTTTCTTTCCTCAGGCATTTTTTAAGGATGTGCTTTTATGTTTTGCAACCCCGTAGACTACTGTGAGCTTCTAATTGCCGCCATTTTGAATAACAATATCCCGGATCAAAAATTCAAACACAAGTAACCATGAGAACGTGCCGTTGACATTTGATGTAGCTTACATAACCTATAAATTCACTGAGTCAGTTGACATTCACGTGCTCGTGCTGCTGGTACATCTCATGCAATGCAGTCCTTCGTTTTTGCAGAGTTAGCAGAGTTTTCTTGTGAAGATGGATCACATATTCATCGTTTCACTTCTTTTCGTGGCTTGCACTTCCTTAACTGGTGCCATCATTCCTAAGTACAGCATTGCATATTTTAAGCAGAAACTTGATCATTTCAACTTTGTTCAAGATGCAACATTTTCACAGCGATACCTCTACACAGGTACTGTCAGTAACCTCAATATGACACTTAGATAAAAAAGCTTCAGTTCTACCAATTCCCGTGCTTAATTTTGGGCTTGAGGAGCAAGATGCCCTAGTGAGCATGATATCGCAAACACCGCAAGCGTTTGCAAGCAGCAAATGCGTGAAGGCGCTACTACCGTTTGCATACGCACTGATTACAAAACGTCCATTATGACCCCTACAAGCGTATGCTGATCCTCATTTTTTATATTTAAAATATACTAAGTAGATTATTGATTAATTGAGCCCTATACATGTAATATAAATATTCACTCTAATTTAATTTTGTTTTTTTAAATGAAAAGATGTGGCTTTTATTCTGGTATAATTAAGGCCTTAGCAGAGATGCTTTTCCCTCTTCAGATTTTCCTTTTTGTGTCATATCCTTCTTTTCAGGGTTGTCACTAAAGTAGGCGGGGAATCAAACAGCTAGGGGTTTCTTTTGGTTCTATTTTTTCTTTTATTTTCCTTTGAAAGTAGCCGGGGTCCATGTTCATAGTATCCTGGGGGAAATCCCCTGCCCCCACCTCTTAATGACACCCCAGCTTTTAAAGTACCCTGCAAGTAGTGGTTTCTCCAGGCTGGATGCTACACTGTGAAGGGAGACAAACCAATGTGAGCAACCGTTTGCTTCTTTGATCAAGCTGCCGACTTCAGCACCATGGATGAATACATTAACTTTGAAAAGGAAAAACCAAGTAAAGACTTTCACAGACGTAGAGCATGCTCGATGGAAACGCCAGTGGTTGCTCACAGTGGTTTCTCTCCCTTCATAGTTTTGCAGGGTATTTTATCAATCAAACACCCACCATTCATCCCTGCAAATGCACTATAGGTCCTTTGCAGCACATAGTCACGTGACCTTGATGCAAAAATTATGGGATATAATGTAAACAATACCAGGGATGGCATTAAGGGTGTGCAAAAACTAGCTGGAAAGCCACTTAAAGAGAAGACTGTGCAAAAGACTAAGATTAATTTTTATTTTATGGATTTCTGCAAAATTACATTTACATGTATGACTGTTTAAAAAATTCAGTGATCAATCCATCGACAGATTTAGATCACTGAGTCTTGGGACTCAACATTCCATCAATGAATGAGTCCCAAACCCATTCAATGATTCCCCTATTGAACTATATTATAGTTGTGAATGGCAAAGTTCATCAAAATACATTGTATGCATTGAAAAGGTTGGAAAAACTTGACATTTCAAGGGTGCTCCCTCTTCCTCAGTGGTTTAAAAGAGGGAGCACCCTTGAAATGTCTGGTTTTTCCAGCAGTTTTCAATGCATATTTTGATAAGCTTTGCCATTCATTCATTCATTCATATTTGCATTATTCTTCAAATTTTTCAAAGCACCTTTCAACTTTCTACCAATAGAGGAGCTCTATGTGTGCAAATTGCGCATGCAAGCAAGCCCGTACGATACAGAAGACGTTAAAACAGCGCTGCTTTAGCGACTTGTTAGCGCTGCAACGAGCGCTGCAGAAAGGTTGCACGAACGCTGTTTTCCGTTCGCTGCAGCAGTGCATTTTTGTGACTGCGTGAACGCTGCGGTAGCGACACTGAGAGCTGCAGGAGCGCTGCCGTAAAGATGCAAAAAAATAGCCACACGAGGCCATACGGTCGATAAACAGCTTTTATGCAGCGCTGTGCAGCGTTAGTGAAGCGCTGCAAAGAACAGTTGTAAAAAAAGAAATGCAGACTTCAACAATACAATAATCATGAGACATGGTAAAGGAGTTGACAAGAGGCCTTATAGTAGCGGAGTAAAAACCACAAGAAAGACAAAATGCAACTGATACTTTATTAGTATTCACGCAGCATTAATGCGTTACAAAAGCAGGTGACATATAAAAATCTCGACAGTCTCGCTTTGTAAATATTCAGCAATCACGGTCACTCATCTAAATGTAAGAACATCCATTAACATGCCGACATTGAAGTTTATCTTTTTTAAAATAAAGAGAATAAGAGCGATTGTTCTACATAAAGTTTGCACGGACAGCAGCCAAATGATGTTTTGATTCGTTGCAACAGCCTAACATCGCTCACCTTTGACGTTTTGTCCATGATCCACGATCTGCCGTCACTGTTTTCATGAAAGAAATCAACCCAATTTTACCTTGGTCGTCGTTAAATTTACAATGGACTAAGGAACGTACATCATCGTGAACGTTTGAATCTTGTAAATACATGCGTACCCCAGCTCAGATTCTTGTATCTGTGTTGCTTGCTCTGGTTCGATTAAATCGGTACCGGCGTAGAATTCACTGAACAGTGCCGTTGTTTACAAATACCTTTGAGCTGTTCCATCCAAAAACATCAACAGAACTTCCACCTTGAAACACTAAACTAGATGCTAAACACTTACAATGTATGAATGTTTGCGCCTTTCATTCAACGGTCGCAAATGTTTGTCTAGCGATGTAATGTGATCTGATGCAAAAGTGCCGACCAATTAGATTACAGCCTAGAATGTCTCCAGGGAATTAGCGATAACATTCCCACGCTCGCCAGTCACGGAATAAAATTTATTGAAATCTTTATTCCAAAAGCATAGAATTTGGAGGTTTATTCAATAAGTGATCTTCCCTGCGTACAAGCTTACTCACATTTCTTAGAGGTACAGTCAAAGTTTTCTCGTTATGAAAGCCGTAATCTGTGGCAAAAGGCTTTTCTGGCGGTTCATGTTATGAGCGCTCAAGAACGTTGTGCTATCAGATCCAGCGTAGCTGAATAATATTGTAGCGTTACTGCAGCTATTGAAAGTCGGCAACTGCGCTGCAAAACTGCTGCCGAGAGCTTCAAAGGCAGCACCAGCGCTTTTGCATCCCGCTGCAACTTGGATTAAGCTGTTGTTTGGCTTCTAAAATGCTGCTAAACAGCTGTAATTTAGCTGTACAGCTATTTTGTGGCGCCGTACAGCGCTGCAAGTTTCGTACGGGTTTGCTCTCCAGGGTTTTAATTTTGAAGATCTTTAAGTCCTTATTTGGTATCTGCAGCGTTGTGCAGCGATAATGCAGCCTCAAGCGTCGCTTGTATTCAGGTTGTCATATGGAGTGGTTTCAATGTTTATATCTAAGTCTCATTGCAGCTTTTAAGCAGCGGCCCGCAGCGTTGCTTTACCGCTGCTTTACCGTGGCAAAATTTTGCAGCGCTTTCGCAGTGCACGAAATGTGACGTTCTCTGCTTTAGGGACTCACGAGCACTGCTTTACAGACGCTTAAGCGCTGTGCAACCATAAAAGTGAACTGCTGCAGCGCTGCGGCAGCGTTGCGTCGTTCGTACGGGAGGCCCCATGCATACCTATGAAATTTGGTAATCTGTCCATCCGAGAAATTTTGATGATTACGTGACCATTTGTCTGCCGGTCCATCCGCACCACAGGGCAACCAATGTGAAATGCCAAACTTTCTGAGCTAGTGTGGGAGAGCATAACCTGTGTTTAACTTGATGATCAACTGACAGCTACCAAAACAAACTCGATAATAGCTCTGGGCATGAAACAAATGTTTGTGTCCAGATGGACGCACCCAGGACTCATTTATGTACTTTTTCTGAAAAATTCAACATTTTCCATTGCTATATATATATAGTACAACAGTGTACATTATTGCTTTCACCATTATTTTTCTGTCTCAATTTTGTCATGGGCAGGTGACTTACAAACTGTACATCTATAATATGTTCTTTGTTGTTTTTTTTTAAAAATGCCTGTAAACCATCCTCCAACCTGATCCCAGTCAAACCAATGAGGCCCTGCCAGGGTAAATTCTGACAAGCGACATGGCCCAAAAAGGAGTAACAGCGCGTAAAATGAAATAGTGACAAGAGACAACCTCCCTCAGCCAAATTGCGACAGTGACGGCAAAGCCGACAATAAGCGACAAGCATTTATAAACACCGACACGAGACGTTTTAAAATTCAGACGGGCGACATGGGACCCCCCTGGCAGGGCCTCACTAATGGGGAGGGGTAGAGATTTTGTTCAGTATAGTATGTACTCTGAAAAGCGAACTGTTGCAATGTCCTGAGCATAATAATGTATTTTACAGACAGCTCGATTAGTTCTGTCGGTGCACGTGTGTTGAGAATGCAGGAACTACAAATACAATGTGTATGTGGAGAGGACCCGCTTTCCTCCTGCTTCCATTTTGCATTATCTGAAAAAAACATGAATTTCTTTTTGTGCTTATCAATGTTAATTGATTTAATATTTCTTGGTAGATCAATATTGGAATGAGAATGGACCCATTTTCTTTTATACTGGCAATGAAGGCTCTATCACCTCATTTTGGGACAATTCAGGCTTTGTTTTTGAAGCAGCTGAGCAGTTTAATGCCTTAGTCATATTTGGCGAACATGTAAGTTTGAACTTTCGCTCTACTTGTATACTGTGTGCTAGACTGTACTGCAGGCATTATCAGTCTAAAATTTGCTCAGGGTGTGCATGGATACTGTGGCTCAGTTTTTTCTTAGTTTTAGAAGAAAGAGATATCTAATGGAAATCTCAAAAAAATTTCCAAGGTCTAGATAAGATTCAAAATCACGACCTTTCAAGTTCCTGGACTGGATACTCTAACCACTAATTAAGCTAAGACACAGGAGGCTTTGTGGCGAGCAGGGTCGAAATTTGATTATGGGGGATCCGCTTATGTCTGACTTGTAAACTGGAGAGAGGTTGGTAAACTGCAGTGCTAAGCATATCATCTGTAAATATCTGCAAAATTTTCATTATTTGCAATCTTATATGATTCTTTGCTATTACATTTAATGTAATCATAGTCTCCTATGACATGACATGTCATAGGAGACTATACATGCATGATTACATTAAATAGTGTGATCAATAAGGGTGAAATTGCAATGACTATATACTACACGTATGCTTGACTGCAAAGGATTCGCTTTCTTTTTCCACATTTTTGTAAGGCATTACTATTCTGCTCATTCACAGCTATAAATCATAATAAAAATAAAACAAAAGAAAATAGATATCAAACTAGTTTGAATTCATTTTGCCCTGAAATGCTTCTCCATATACAGCATAATTACATATGCATGTTATTTTCTTTATAATATTTAGCATCATTTTTTGTTTTTGGTTTAAAGAGATACTATGGGGAATCTCTTCCATTTGGCATGAAGTCATTTGAACATGACAAAGTTGGATATCTTACAATAGAACAAGCCATGGCAGACTATGCTGTGTTGATAACAGAACTGAAGGTTCAGTTTAAAGCAACAAAGAGCAAAGTTGTTGCTTTTGGTGGAAGGTGAGATATGCTTATATTTTTGTTGTATCATTTATTTCATAATTTACTCTGTACAATTATTGTTAGTTGTATAGTCTAAATCGAGGGCCTTTCTCACTGTTCTTTCACAGTTGCTTCTTTGGCTGAATGAAACAAGGCAGCTCTAAAAAGCAATCTGCCTGTTTAGTGTGGTCTTCATGTCCACAGAGCTGGTCTAGTAGAGAGCTTAAGGTAGCAGATTAGACCCTTCCACTGTTACATCGTATTTCAACTTTGTCATGGACCAGATATATGTATAGAAAATATATAATAATGAGTACCTTTATAATATGACACTGCATGCAATGTTCCCCCTGCCAAGTTTTAGCATACTTGTCAAAGTCTTGTACACATAAAGTTGTAAGTTTGTGCCCACACCAAGCAAACATTTTTAACATTTCATGACTTCTGGCTTGTTGTTTGGGGTCCATATTGAGTCTTTCGTTAATGTAGCTGCTGATTTTTGTCAGTGAGGAGGTTACCATCCTCGAGTGATGGTACCATCTTCTTTGAGAGACCAACAGTGTGTTGCAGTTTTGATTCCAGCATTATGTTTCACAAAATAATATTGCCAGAATCTCTAGCCATCTGTATTCCAGCTACTTCAAGGTTTTCCCACTACAGGTTTACAAATTTCCAACGAGTTTTACTCTTTATAAGTCTGCAGTGGAAAGCAAGATGGTGGTGCATTTCTGTACAAGCCTCCACATTGTGAAACTACTCCTTCATGGCTGTGCATCTCTCCTTAATAAGACTGGCAAAAGCTGTCGGGCATCCCACCAGTCTTGTCTGCCTTGTTTTGGGAGCTTTAAATGCCTCTAGGGCTCGACACTAACAGTTTTTCCCTTGAAAATTCCAAATGTAGCAGAAAATGACAAAAGAATAAAACTTCTTGCTGGGTACGTGCTTGCCATAAATTGTCACCATCTTGGCCAAGTAACTTAGGTAAGAACTGGATCCTGTTGTGCCCAGTCCATTTCAACCAAATCTGAGATGTGATTACTCATGGCAAGACGTTGCAGTGGCAGACACAAAAGCATGTTTCAGATGTCTTCTCCGTGGACTCTAAAATTAATGATCTAGAAATTTAGAACAAGCTGTTTGGTTGGGCCAGCTAGAAGTTGAGAAAGACAAGCTAGATGGAGATGAGAAGGAAAAACAAAAAGTGCATCCAGACAAGTTTCCTTACCTTCTATTGATGCTTGCTGAAATTTGTCTTGTTCTCTCCTTTTTTATAAACTTGCCTTTGGTGAGATTTAATCTTGATCATTATTATTTGCATGCACTACCCACCTCAAACAGCTTTGCTAGCTGTGGACAGTGCTCAGCGAAATGCCAGAAAGTGGTACAGTATAACCATTCAGTTTTTTCTCTGACACTGAATTTTTCAAGTTCTCTAGTTGCTGAAGCAGGACATGAAGCCTCCCTATACGAATAAAGACTATATAAGCAGCCATCACACTGCAATTAACCCTTGATGTTGGCACCTGGATCAAGTCCAATATTGTGCTTACTAGGCGCACAGGCTCTGGTCATACATTTCAGCCAGCAATACCACCCCCTCAAAGATATGAGCCAGCAGTATAACATTACTACTAACAGTAACTGCTGGGGTAACAGGGACCCATGGCGGATGACCTTCAGCTTGCTTGGAGCCCCCCTCTTACCATTTGGCATGTCTTGTTTTTTTTGTTCTGTTAAAGTGTTTCCAGATTATTCTCCTCATCTGGGGAACTGTTTAAGCCAAGGAAAACAGTTAGTCACAAAGCCATCCAACCATAAAGAAGTAGTACTACGTTACATGTTTACAAGCTATCAATAAATTGTACCAAGCACCTTGAGGTGTGCAAGATGTTCAAATGGAAGATGCCTGTACTTACTATTTATTACAATTTGCTTAGTTTCATTAAGTTTTAACTTTCATGTTGTGTTAGTTCTCAATGGTTACAATAATCACTTAAGACTACTATGAACTTGGCTTATTGAGCTTTAAACTTGACTATATTTGCATGCTGTACCCGACTCAAATATACATGTTGCTTTGCTAACTATGGACAGTGCTTTTTGTCAAAATTTTTAATTACCATGCAATAACATTTTTGGTTTTGTTGTTGTTGTTGTTGTTGTTGTTGAACAGTATGAACACCTCTAGTAGTTAACACTGACGTATCCTTTTCAGAGAAGTGACATGAGCAATGCGGAACCAAATTTTTTTATTTTTGTCTCAACAACATGATCACAAACAAAGCTTGCTGGCTGAAATGGTGTTTCCAGTATGTAAGCAAGTTTTAGAGGGTTGCTGGAGCACTGTAAAGGCAAAATGGCAATTGTCTTGAAATACAATCTGAAATTCAGGCTACCTAACTAGCAGCTTGATATGACAATACCTTCTTTGCTGGCGTTAATTCAATTCAGTTTTGTAGCAATTTTTCCAGCTTTACTTTTCATAATTTTTTTTGGCAATATGTGTTACATTATTTTTTACTTATTTTATCAAATCTTTTAAACAATGTAATTCTATATCAGTTATGGTGGGATGCTAAGTGCCTATATGAGGTTCAAATACCCAAATGTGATTGATGCAGCATTGGCAGCCAGTGCACCAATATATATGGTGACCTTTGAAGGGAGTGAGAGGGAGTTCTTTTTCTCGGCAGTAACTCAGGTGAGGACTTGCATGAATCCGTTTACAGGTCGTAATATTAGTATGCTTCATTTCAGTGGGAAACGTTTTTGGGAAAGCTTTTAGGATCTTAGGATAAGAATTGATACGAATCTATGGTATAGGTGGATAGTGGAACAAGATTTTAATGAGAATTTTTGGGTGAAAGTCATATGGCTTTATTTCGTCTTTTTCTCCGGCCTCCTTGACTGCTCATTCTGGAACGGTTTGAAAGATCTCTTTATCCAGCACAAGTTAGCGGACAAAGTTGTCCTTGATCGTTAAAACTGATGACATCAAAAGCAGTAGAAGCTACGTGGGACACAAGCGGTTACAGGCGGTTCAGGGGTGAATTGGTTCACAGTTCAAGGTTATTGTTAATGCAAAAGATCAAAAGAAAAATTGGAACTGGCATAGTGTAACTACCTCTTGTGTGGAGCAAATGATTGCTACTGGACTGGCCAGTTTATATTGGTAAAATAATAAGTGCGCTATATATGGAGCTTAGATTCCCTTGACTGGATCCTAAAAAAGCTGGGTACCTTTTAAGTATTTTCATATTAAATACAGCTGTAAACACTAACTTGACAATGCACGCTATATTCCTTTTCTCTCTTTTTAAGGTGCAAAATTTAATGCATTCTAGTATTAAATTACTAATTCCAAAAATTTACTTCATGTATATATGATATATTTATATACTTTTCAGGACTTTCATAATGCTGATCCTGATTGCCCAGGTTATATTGTTACTGCATTTGAAATGCTTGAGATGCTGAAAAATCAAGGAGCAGAAGGTGCAGTGAAAATAGCTTTATCATGAGTTTGTGTTCACCTCATAACAAGAAGCTCTTTATTATTTTCATGAGTTTTGGACAAAGAAAATCCTTGAGTCTCAACAAGATTGAATACATAGCACACCAAAAAAACTGGTTGAGCGATCTATCTTCTGAGCTAAGGAAAGGCTTACCAGTATGTGATTGATTTATTAAGATGACTGACCCTTATAATAAGCAGCTTGTAAAACTACTTTAAAGTGTTTTAATCCTGCATGTACTGTTACAGCTATACACGTAATTATGTATAATTTCACTGTTATTAAAATTATGAAATCTGTCAAGCTCAGCTAAGATAATACCGGTATTCTCACCATCCTGTATATCTCATGCAATTGTTATAGTCTCTAATTATCCATCAGTCTGATATGATG